ATTCTGTCCTGTTTCCAATATTTGACTATGTGCGTCATGCTATTGATCCTTCAGGAGGGGACCTGTCTGACGAGGTTGCTAATGACATGGTTGAGCTCGACCAAGATGCATGGCTCTATGAGACATGCACATTAGCCCTCCAACTAGTTGTAGATCTTTTTGTCAATTTTTACAACACTGTCAACCCACTTTTGCGGAAGGTGCTCACACTTCTAGTAAGTTTCATCAAGCGTCCTCACCAAAGCCTTGCTGGTATTGGTATTGCTGCGTTTGTACGTTTGATGAGCAATGCTGGTGATCTGTTTTCAGAGGAAAAGTGGCTGGAAGTTGTTTTATCGTTAAAAGAAGCAGCTAATGCAACATGTCCTGACTTTTGGTACATTGTTAGTGAAGATAATGTGCTTGGCAGTCATGAGCATAATTCCAATGGACAAAGTAATGAAGTGTCTGCTGGTTCAGACATACCTCATGATGATACTGAGAGCCAGAGGACACACCATCTTTATGCTTCTTTATCTGATGCAAAGTGTCGTGCTGCTGTTCAACTTTTATTGGTTCAGGTTGTCCTTTCATCTTCATATTGAAAACTTTTAGGTTGCTTACTACTTATCATTTCGAGGAGGTAATAAAGATAAAGTTAAAACTTAGAAGTATATTTGAGATGAGCTTATTTGCCAGTTTAAGCATGCAAGCATTTGCATCATCTAATTCTCTGACACCTTTGCACATGGTATACTTGATGTGATGCTGAATTTATATGATGTTTCCTTGCTGAGTCAGTGTAAATAGAAGTGTTTGAATTACATTTTGTGTATGAAGTCATTCTTCAGATTTATAGGATGCTCTGTTCAGATTTATTGGAACTATTGTGTGATCAATGTAGGTCTAATTTTGCCTGGTTTCTAAATGACAAATTTAGAAATAGCAGAACTTTAAAACCTCAGGACAATGTCCTACTCTTTACGTGTTTATAATTTAAATCTTAATTATGGTTGACTTATTTAGACATGAATTAGTTTTGGGGAGATAAACTTTGTTTCTTAATTTAATTCTGCCATTCTGATTTCTCTTTGCAGGCGGTGATGGAGATCTATAGCATGTACCGATCTCACCTTTCAGCAAAGAATACCTTGGTTCTATTTGAAGCAGTGCATGATGTGGCATCCCATGCTCACTTGATCAACAGCAATTCTACATTACGCGCAAGGCTTCAAGAGTTTGGCCAGATGACTCAAATGCAAGATCCTCCCCTTTTACGCCTTGAAAATGAGTCCTATCAATTTGGCCTCACATTCTTGCAGAACCTCATAGTAGACAAGCCTTCAAGTTATGAGGAGGCTGGAGTGGAGTCTCATCTGGTTGATCTTTGCTGGGAGGTGTTGCAGTTTTATATAGAAATTGCATGCCCTGGACAGGCTTCTGAATCATCTACTAGAGGGCAATCACATTGGTGGATACCATTAGGTTCTGGGAAGCGGAGGGAGCTGGCTGCACGTGCACCTCTTGTTGTGGCAACCCTCCAGGCAATTTGTAGCTTGGAAGAAACCTCATTCGAGAAAAACCTAGCTCGGTTCTTCCCCCTTCTTTCAAGCTTGGTAAGTTGTGAACATGGGTCAAGCGAGGTCCAGGTAGCTCTCAGTGATATGCTCAGCACGTCAATTGGTCCTGTTTTGCTCCGATCATGTTGATCTGGGTAAAATAGGACTGCATTTTGGGTGCATCATATATTTTGTTTGAACCCATTCTTTCCAACCCAAAAGGTCCAACTATTGCCCTCAGCTCATAATACCCCTGTTACAGGAAATATAGTTTCTTCCAGCATGGAGAGCAATGGTTTTGTATGGCTCAGTTCTAAATCTTCCGCTGTTTATTCCGTACAGAATAGCTCTTTTCTTTTTTTCTTTTTTTCTTTTTTCCGAATTTTGTAGATTTAAGAGGTTTTCATGTTGTATGGTAGTCATGTTTTTTTGAATGAGTTTTGTAAAGTGATTTTCTAATTATTTACTTTAGGTTGAAACTTGATTTTGGGAGAAGCAGATCCTGTATATGCGCTACATGCTTTTTCTAGGCAAAAGATAATACAGGAAATGTGCCGTCATACGTATCTTTCTCTGTAACCCTGAATTATTATGTTAAATTCTTTGTAAATTATTTTGCATCTCTGCACAAGAGGGCTAAAATCTCTCTTCAACTCAGCCAACGCAGGAACATGAAACGGCATCGTTTACCACTGCCTTCGGTTTCAATTTTGAAGTCTCTAGTTAAATTTAAATGTCAATTTTGATCGTTTAATTTAAAATTTTGTATAATTTTAATCTTTTAAATTTATTGTGTATTTTTTTAATCTTTTAACTATGAAAAATATGTCTTTTTAATCCTCATTTTTTATTCCGATAAGAAAGGACTGATCTCAGCGAAAATGCTCCGTCGGGTTCTTCTGCTCGATCTAATGCAGGCTTCGATCGAGAGAACGAGCGCATCATAGGCGGCATTAAC